CAATTTCGGGGCATTGTCCACACTGGGGAGACTATCCAGGCTGCACTCGCTGTCGTTGCAGGGAATGTCGTTGTGGTCAGAAACCGACCTTAAAATGCTGGCATCTCAGCTTCCACAACTAGAGTGTCTGCACTTGAGTGACATCCACTATGAGTCTTTCCAGTACATTCCCAGACTTGGTGCCGCAATCAGCAAGCTGCGCAACCTGAAGACATTGACTGTACTGGATTCAAATGTTCAGATAGATGACTTGTTTCAAAGTGTGGGAGAACTAACTCAGCTAGACAATCTCAGCCTACACACCGACACGCACATTCCAGATCGTACTCTCATTGACTTCTTTGACTCGAGCCTATCACCGCTTACTTTTGTACACATTGTGCACGGTGGGCCGAATTTAAAAGTTGAAGAGCTGAAACAGCAGCTGAGACGCCGTCGCCCTTATTCTAATCTCAATGTGCTGAGATCAAAATGATCACTCAAAACAGTGATCCTTTCTTAAAGCATCGCCGTGGATACTGACCGCTGTTGCTCTTCTCTGTGCCTCTTTCTAGTAGTTTCTACTCAGTCCTCTGTGAAAACTGAACAAGACAACACTTACCACGGCACACTGTGGTGGAAGAGTTACGGAAATTTGACTCCTTTTTATTTCTGCATACTCTGGTTTTCTGGTTTTCGTCTAGTGCCTACTGATGACGTCATGTGTCATACACAGTCTAGTGTATGTGTGAGTATGGTGTGATGCGTGATGTACATGTATATTGCATGTGGGGCTTGCAAGAATTCGCGGCATTGTTGGATGACGAGGATTAGAATCTGCTTCCGTCACTGTGTGACTGATTGCCAAGTGAGTGTTGCGCATGCGTTGGATACGTGCAGCATGCGTGGTGTACGTCGGGTCTGAGAGTGAAAGTCTGAGAGTGATTCGTCCACAGTGTTGTTGTCTTGGTTTTCGTCAGGTGTGTTGTACGTACTCGTGTCTCATCGGTTGTTCCGATTCGTCCGTGCCTTATATCTGGCTATTGTTGTTCATTGTTTGTTAGTTCGTGGCCTTTCCTCTCTTTGCTCCCTCCACTATCATGTGCTGCATCTCTTCATTTCACCAGTCTTGCAACTTCCACTGAAAGAAACCTGAAAAGCCAAATGAGCGATAAAGAGCGTGGTTTTGTTGTGACAAGGGGCCAGGCCAAGGGAGGGGGGGGGGGGGTTGAGGTAACGCGAGCAAGGATTGTGCGGCCTAACACTCGACGGGCAGACCTGGGCAGCAGCGGTCATTGTTCCTGCCGGACAAGGTCATGCATATGGCCACGTTGAAACGGTATGATATCGTGCACTGGATTGTAGACAGTTTTACACTTAGAAAGAGGATAATCATACATGTACGTCAGCTTCTTGAACAGCAGCAATTTGAAAGTTATCCTGTGACGACACTAAGTGCTGTATAGTCTTGAAACCTGCTCAGTTCGGATGGAATACAGGCAAGAGCTAAGGAACTGTGCTGGCCAAGAACCTGACATGTGTCCTCTTTTCTTTTTTCTAAAAGTGTGAAGGAACGCTTTGTCTCCGAGGAAACATTTTACATACTCGGCTTTCGGAAAGTGAATGTGAAAAGGATACATGGAAACGAGTTTTGACTATGGGTGAGTATCAGTTTTCCGGATATCCGGTTCCCGCAAGACACTTTTGGACGAATGGAAACAAGCTACGTGTACATACATAGCCATATTGCGTTCACACATGAAAATGATTGTTTAACCCGAGACAGTCAGTCATGTAGTAGATGATATTCTACTCCACTGGGAATATGCAGTGAGAAGGTGTGATAACAGGGCACAACCTTTGTGATCCGTCAGTTACTGAGACATTTAACACCAACATTGTACACCTACGACTCGCTGTTGGCAAATAACAACTTGTTTGGTGTAAATTTCCAGCTGGATTGAGGACATTGTTTAGAGTGGCGGCCAGCTTTGCAAGCTTGATATTATTGGTTTCATTCTGCAGCTCACTGGCTTGAGGGAGCTTTCACATCATTGTGAACCTGATGAAGGCAATTCGCCGAAACGTTGGAATAATTATTGTGAAATGAGTTGAACTATTGCAGTGTTTATGGAAGAGAGCGTGTGGGCTCTACTCTTAACTGTCATCAAGGTGGTTACCTGTTTGTGATGCAGATTTAACTAAAAGTACAGCAACAAAAGTTAATGAAGCCCACATTCAACAGCCACAGCCCATGACAGCCAGAACAACACCGACAACAACACAACGACAACGACAACGACCACAATAACAACGACAACGGCAACGAGAACAACACCAACAACATCAATTTTCGCTCCACATTTACTGGCACACACAGAGACATAAACAGCAATAGCGACAACACACAAATTGAAGGGTAGTTGGCCGCAGCCAGATGTAACATTTGCGCAGCTAGTGGGGAGCCCTAGCCATCGGCATTCCTTATGAAAAGATAGACTCTTGGGGGCCCAAGTATATTGAAGGCCTTGAAAAACGCGTCAACATTTTGAAGGTATGACCAGCATCAGCCAGGGACTGATGGTCAAAACAATAACAATATACACTCTTATAATAAACACACGATCCTTGAAGGGTGGCGGCGTTCCTACGGACGTGGAAAACTCCGCCTCTAGCCGAGTCTCCCGCGAACCGTGACAGTAAAATAATACTTCGGTAAACACCTACTAGTATACTGTGACCTAGCACAGAACTACAAGGACACATTACGTCACCATAATGTCAGAACTACAAGGACACATTACGTCACCATAATGTCAGAACTACAAGGACACATTACGTCACCATAATGTCAGAACTACAAGGACACATTACGTCACCATAATGTCGGCTGCACGATAGGCTTTTCCGGATTATGCGTTTTTTCTTGGTCTAAAATGGAAATGGAAAGTGTTTTGAAAAACCCCTATAAATCAAATTTTTTTCTAAAGAAAATGCAAAAATTTACCCAAAAAGCACAAAAAATGCCACCGTTGCCATAGTAACAAAATTGTGACAGCTAGTCGCGTGACATTTGGCACCATGGTGATCATTCATGGTGATCTTGAAGTACCTATCGCTTGCAGGGAGTCGTAAAATACCGGTATTTTACGACTCCCTGGCCCAAAGTGGGTCAAAATGGACAAAATGCATTTTGACCCCCAAAATGCAAAAATATGCAAACACATAATCCGGAAAGGCCTACTGCACGACCAGTCACTGCTAGCATGCTGTGACATAGGAACTAATTACTTTGAAGCAGCTACGAATATTTTAGTTGTCTGAAAACTGGCGTACAAGAATACAAAGAAACAGAAATAAATAACAAGGGCGCTGGATTCGATCGCTAGCGCTGAACACTAGACAAGAATGTTTGCAAAACAAAGGTAGAAGTACTAGAAGAACTATTCAGCCTCAAATGCAACCTCAAGGACACAAAACAATTAAAGAAAAAATGAAAAATGGTGAGCTGAAGGTGGCTGTCGCCGACATCACTGAGCAATCAGTGCAAATACCTTAATGGTATGGGCAGGTAAAAACAAAATGAAGAAGATCTAAACAATAAGATCTACCGGCACAGAACTGAAGGAGATGTCAAGCAGGAATGCCAAACCTACCAGTGAAAGTGAAGGAGGATGTGGGTGATACTATCTTGGCTCTGGCCCAAGACTTCTCTGAGCTACGGCGGTACATACCTGCACAGAAAAGCCAGCAGAAGCATAACGGAGAGCCACGTCACATCGTGGACAACGGCAACAGCAGCGCAACATGAAGAAAATTAATAGAAAATGTGAAGCTGCATTCTGGTTTACAAGTATGTTGGGCCTCACGGATGTAAAAAGCGGCGGTCGTGAGACGTACACGATCGTTTTGCTGCCAAATTACCTCGTATGCATACTGGTAGCCTGGCATCGCTGTAACCTTTTCTCTGCTCTTTCCCGTTGCAGGGATACCCTAAAGTTGTTCAAATAATGTTCGTTTGTGTAGTGTGGCAACGTTGTTGACACTTGTTCCTAAATGTGGTTTGTCACCTTCTTGTTTGTTATTTTTATTTTTATTATTATCATTTGTTCTCACTTTTTTGGTGCTGATACACACTTGTTTGTTTGTTTGTATTTATTTTGATTCGCAAATTCGAACGGGCATAGAACCCAACAACATGAAAGCGAATATGAAAATCATAATCAGTGTAGTGTTTTAGTCCGTGACTCACAACACCCAAAACAAAGCACAACCGTAGTTCACTTGTCCAGTACGCAACTGGTTGAATATTACAGAGTAGAGCAATATAAAAAGGAAGATAATGGAGGTAGTCCAAACACACGAGATAGCTAGCATGCAGGAATGGATGAATGCCAAGTGCGGTCATTCGACACTTCCATAAGGTCTAGCATTACCAACAATAGTCTGGCCCTCAGGTGATTCACAATGTCTGTGGTTACAAACACCACAGTCCTCCCTTCTAAAATGGAACATACTTCTAGGGCTAGAGCAAAGATCGTAAACGTCAAGATGAAGATTGAGACAGAGAAACATGAGCATACAGTGATGTGTAGTTCTGACATGATCAACATGACCGGGACTGTTTCTACTTTCTACAGGCCCAAGCGAGACACTTGCTTGCGTGTCTGCAGCGATCGGCGTAGAGTCGGAGTCGGTGAGGCGTCAGTTGTGTCATTGGTAGCGTCAGCCTCGTGCTGTTGTGGCACTGCAGCCGGCTCAGGCTCGGGTGCTTCTGCTGCGGTCGGGTGCTGCACTGGAGGGAGACATGGTGCAGCCACAGATTGTGTCGGCTCATCCACTAGGAAGGACGGGTGTCCCGCACGTAGCTGATCCAGGTGTCGCTTCCACTGTGCGCCTTGGCTGGTGACAATCATGTACGTACGAGACCCAAGCTTCTCGAGTATGGTCGCTGGGATCCATCCGGGATGGTTGGCGTTCCGGTAATCACGTGCTAGAACGGGGCCTCCAACCTCGAAGGATCATGCCTTGCCAGCAGGCTCTTCGGTGGGCGTCTTGGCGTTCTGTTGTGCCGTTGACGGTCGCAACAAATCCAGACGTGATCGTAGCTGACGGCCTAGAAACAGCTTCGCAGGCGTTGCGTTTGTAGCCGGATGGACTCCTCGGCGGTAGCTCATCAAGAACCGGTCAGCAGCAATCTGTGCAGGTGTTGACTGTGGTACTGCCTGGATTGCCCGTTTAAAGGTCTGGACGAACCTTTCAGCTTGGCCGTTCGTCGCTGGATGATACGGCGCTGAGCGTCTGTGAGCGATGCCGTTCGAGGCGAGGAACTCGGCAAACTCTGCAGATGCAAATTGTGGACCATTGTCGCTGACGATGAGGTCTGGGCAACCATATCTGGCGAATACTGTCCTGAGACTCGCGATGGTAGCCAAAGACGTTGTGGAAGGCATCGGAATGACTTCGGGCCATTTTGAATAGGCATCGACAATGACGAGCCACATCGTTTGCCGCAATGGACCAAGGTAATCTACGTGGACGCGCTGCCACGCGCGGTCTGGCATGCTCCATCGGTGCACTGGTGCTGCAGCAGGTTCGCTCTGGACACTTTGGCATCCGAGGCATGCTTTGACTGCGTCTGCTATGTCGCCGTCCAAGCCCGGCCACCAGAGGATGCTTCTCGCCAATGCCTTCATTCGTACCATTCCTGGATGGCCTTCATGAAGCTCTGTCAGGACAGCTTTCCGGTGGTCCGGCGAAATGATGACGCGATTGCCCCATAGCAAGCACTCGTTGCTAACGCTAAGCTCGTTGCGGCGTTGGAAGTACTTCTGTAGCTCTGCTCTTGGGCACGACTTCGGCCAACCCTGTTGCACATAGCGATGGACCTCACGCAATAGCGGGTCGCTGGCTGTTGCCTCCTTGATCTGCTCCGCTGTTACTGGGAGTGGTTCGCATTGGTCCATGTAGAACATGTTGACCGCTTCCTCTGCCGTATCTGGTGCCGGAGGATTTCCTACTGGCAGGCGTGACAATCCGCCGGCGTTGCAATGCTTGTCTGTTTGGTGGTACATGATCGTGTAGTCATGTCCGGCCAGGAACATCGCATAGCGTTGAAGACGTGCTACGGTCATAGCAGGCAGGCCTTTCCTCGGGTGGAAGATTGATACCAACGGCTGGTGGTCCGTGAGCAGCTCAAAATGCCGGCCGTACAGGTAGTTGTGGAAGCGTTTCACACTCCACACTATTGCGAGCGCTTCACGGTCGATCTGTGAGTATGCCTGTTCCGCTTTCGAGAGCTTTCGAGAGGCATATGCGATCGGTCGCTCTTCTCCAGATGGCAGAATGTGCGACAAGACCGCTCCGACCCCGTATGGTGACGCATCACTTGCGAGACGGACGGGCAGTGTCGGGTCATAGTGTGTGAGCACCTGTTGGGATGACAGCACCTGCTTGACCTCTTGGAAGGCTTGTCGGCACTCATCTGTCCATTCGAATGCCGCTCCTTTTTGCAGCAGCGCTGTTAGTGGACTCAGAATAGTTGACATCTTCGGAATGAAGCGTTGATAGTAGGTGATGAGCCCCAGAAAACTGCGTACTTGCGGCACATTCTCCGGCGGTGGAGCATCACAAATTGCATCAACCTTGCTCGGCATCGTGTGCAGGCCCTGTGCGCTGATGGCGTGGCCGCAATATTCCACTTTCAGCTGAAAGAAGTGGCATTTGGCCAGGTTGAGCTTGAGGCCCGCATCAGCGAGACGTTGGAGCACCTTCATCAGCGTGTTGAGGTGTTCCTCCGGTGTGCGGCCAGTGACGATGATGTCATCGATCATGCACTTAACGCCTGGCAGGTCTCGTAGCAGAGAATCCATGGCTCGTTGCCATAGCGCGGGAGCAGACGCAATCCCGTATGGGAGACGGTTGAGTCGAAACAGACCCAGATGGGTGTTGAGCGTAAGCAGGGGCTTCGACTCGTCGTCCACCTCCATCTGCGTGTACGCTGCCTTCAGATCGAGTTTTGTAAACTCTAGCCCTCCGGAGAGTGAGGCAAAGATCTCCTCGATGAGCGGCAACGGGTGTTGGTCGATGTGGAGCTGGGGATTCACCGTCACCTTGAAGTCTCCACATAGCCTGACCTGGCCGTTTGGCTTCAGAACAGGTACCACAGGTGTTGCCCATTCGCTCCACTCCACCGGAGTGAGGATTCCGGCAGCCTCCATGCGACGTATCTCTGCTTCAACCTTGGGTTTCAGCGCCATAGGCACTGATCGTGCCTTGACAAACTTTGGAGTCGCATCAGACTTCAGCGTGAGCTTGGCTCTCGCCCCCATGAACAATCCTTGTTCATCATTGAATACCGCTGCAAATTCACGTTGTAACTCCTGGAGTGAGGATTTCACATTCCTGATAGCCGCCAACTCCGTCCAGTTGAGGCGAAATTGCTGGAGCCATGTGCGTCCTAGCAATGCTGGGCCCTCGCAGTCGACCACGTACAGCTCAGCCTCCGCTTGCTGACCGTTGATGGTGACAGGCAAGCGCAGCACGCCTTGCGATCGAAGCGATTCACCGTTGTAGGCTTGCAGCACCAGTTTTGCTGGGAGAAGCGAGTGTTCGGAGAACAAGTGCACGTATGTTGCGGCTGGTAAAACAGAGACACCAGCGCCCGTGTCTACTTCCATAGATAACTCCTGTCCCGCGATCTGTGCGGTTATCGTGAGTGGTGCTGGCGGCTTTCCGCTCGACTGGATCTTGGAGACACGCACATAGCGAATGCTGGACTGGTCGTCCTCGTCGCTCGCAAACAAATAGTTGTGACCTGTCATCGCTGAGCCTTTGCGCTTGAATGATCTGGGTCGCGGAGTTGGTCGCGCTCCTGGCTGCTCAGCTGGCTTGCAAGTGGCCTTTCTTACCACACGCATTGCAAACTAATTACTTCGTCCTTGTAGCGGCAGTCAGGCGCCTTGTGTCCAACTCCACCACAGCGAAAACACGTAGATCGTGCACCAGGCACAGGCTTTCTCGATGGGGTGCGAAGTTTGTGGACACCACCGCTAGCGTTCTTCGTATCCGTCGCGGAGACTTCCAGAGCGTCCCTGGTGGCCAGCTCATCAGCCAGCGCGTCCTTGACGGCGTTGTCGAAAGTCAGTGCGTCCGTGGCCAGGAGTTTCCTCCGCGTACCTGCACTCCTCAGTCCGCAGACGAAGCGATCTCGCAGAGCTTCTGCAAGATGGGCATTGAACTCGCAGGTCCTTGCCAAACGGCGAAGTTCAGCCACGTAGGCGGCGATCGATTCTCCTGGACGTTGGTCCCTCTGGTAGAATCGGTATCGTTCTCCAATGACAAGTGGTTTCGGTACGAGATGTCCTTTTAGAGCCGCGCAGAGTTCCGCAAACGTCTTGTCAGTTGGGGCGTTCGGGGCCAGCAAATCTTGTAGCAGTTCAAATGCTGGACCTCCGATGACCGTGAGCATCGTTGCTCGCTTCAGGTCATTATCATCGATGCCGTTGGCTGCCAAATACTGCGTCAAGCGTAGTTCGTAGATCTACGTCGACCAGTTTCCGCCAGTGACATCAAACAACTCAATGTGTCCATGAGTCGCCATAGCCGGAGCTAATACTAGTAATGCTCGGAGCACACTAGAAAAACAAAATCTTCGTCGCCACTGTAGTGTTTTAGTCCGTGACCCACAACACCCAAAACAAAGCACAACCGTAGTTCACTTGTCCAGTACGCAACTGGTTGAATATTACAGAGTAGAGCAATATAAAAGGAAGATAATGGACGTAGTCCAAACACACGAGATAGCTAGCATGCAGGAATGGATGAATGCCAAGTGCGGTCATTCGACACTTCCATAAGGTCTAGCATTACCAACAATAGTCTGGCCCTCAGGTGATTCACAATGTCTGTGGTTACAAACACCACAATAATGAGAATGAGAATTCAAATATTTTGATCTTCAACGTAGAGTCAGCGAGCGGTACATCAGAGGGAGATCGGGTACAACAGAAAGAGAACAGAAAAAAAACAGATTTCGCTTGTCGACATCTACAGGGCACAGGTATCGGGGATTACCTGCGTGCGAAACTGCCGAGCGTGATGGATGGCACGGATGTCGCATGGGGAGGGCATTCCATAATACCATGTAATAGTACAGCACCCTTGCAAGCAAAGCGCCCCCGCCCCGCAACCGAATGGGAAACTGGCACACACAGGCCCATGGCAGATTGGAGCCGAGTAGGGCCGGGTGCAGCGGGGGTTAGCAGGGATTGCAACTCTGGACTTGCCAGTGCATAACCATGATAACGACAGCGCCACACCAGGTATGCTAGCTTCTGATTGAAGACTTTTGCCACACGGGACACTGCAATGCGCTCCAGCAGGTCGCGGGCAGACGACCACGGAGGGCGGCCAAAGACAGCACGAGCCCCGCTGTTCTGCAGGACCTGTAGACGGTCGAGGTACCTTCTTTGCAGTGAGCTAGAGCACGCGTTTGAGGCATACAGCAGGTCAGACATGATCAGCGATCTAAAGTAGGTCATGTGTGACTGGTGATTCAGGCAGCGGCGCATTCGCCAGAGTGCTCCGATCTTCTGCGACACGCGTGCAGAACATTTGGCAATGTGGGCGTGCCAGGACATGCCGGAATCGATTGTGGCGCCAAGATAGCTAGCACTTGGCACACTAGGCAGTGAAGTGTCATGGCAGACGACCTGTAGATCCGCTGTGTGCTAACTTGGCTCTTGCCAGCATTGAGGATCAGGCCTCGATCCTTCAGCCAGTCTGCAAGGATTGAAACAGAAGCAGATACTTGTCACGCTTAGTTCTTACATGTATACCCTTGTTTTCTGCACACTTTTGTGAGAAATCGCACCTCGATATTCCAGTGCTATCATTGTATCTTGCTACCCTACCTTGATTGCTATATTATTTCCTTTGTTCTCATTTTGATCTTTAGCACAACGGTGATTACTGAAGAGTGTTGTACGAAAACTTGTTCGAATCATCTTTTTTCATCGCCTTTTTCTTCTTACATGTACATGTATATTTCCTTACCCGTACATTGTTTTTTGAATCGTCTCCAAAGTAATCCGAATGTCACTTAAAAGTCTGAAGACAAATTGACTGTCACCACCAGGACTCGAACCAGGGACCCTCGCTTGTAGCCAGCGATGCTCTAACCGCTGAGCTATGGTGTAGTCGTCATCCCAGCAGAGACCGTTCAACATTTTCTTCAGAATAATATTAATAATAATAAATAGCCAAGAGTCTTGAATAACGACTGATAAGATATTTCCTTTGTTACTCCCTTCATTGGTTGATGTACATGTACTTTGCCTGTCGCTGCAAATTCTTTATCATTGTTTTGATGTTGGAGTTCGGATTGAGTTTCTTTCCTTTCTTCCTCTTCCTTCCCCTATTTCTTGTCCCTTTGGTTGTTAGCTTTTTATTTTTTCACTTTCTTTTTGCTGTCCCACCCATGGAAATATTTCCCGGTGGGTCTGGCTTATCGCCTTCGAAAGAAGTGAATAATATAATAATAGTTACAGTTCGCATGTCACTCATGGAAGGATCCATGGGCTTAACGCATCTGTCAACGAAATCCAGGCAGAAGAGCCAACAAAAGGCATCTCATTATTGTTAGAACGTATCGCAGTAAGAACAACTACGGAAGCGCAGCACATGAATAAAGGTTACATACATGTAATATAAAATAGGCCCCAGATCAGAGCGACAGAGAACTTCAAATGCGATAAGTTCACTACAACAACCCACTGCGCTGAATACCATATTGCATGACACGGAATGCCGCTCTGTTTGAAAGCAGGTGGTATGTTGTACCTTGGTTTAGCGAAATCCTCAGCCTCACGGTCGTATACCGGAAGGCTTTGCAACCTTCCTGCACTTCAGATCATGTATCGTTGCAGCAGTTCCTGCAGAGCAGGACCAGGACTCGCAGGAGCATGAACTGTTCCACACCTTCTGATCATTATTTGGCCAAGGATCTGCTAAAACCACCCTTTGGTGCTATTTTGCCGAAAATGAGTTTTTGGCGGGAGGTTGGTCCCTGGCCATTGCCCAAACATATGGTGAAGTATTAGGCTCAAATTTTATATATTCATTGAAATATGACCCATATTATGAAAGCTTTTGGTGCATAAAAATGCCGAAAGTAATTGATATTCACATTATATTTCGTATCTGAGGCTTCATACACCTGTCATACACCTGTCTGTGTAGTGAGAAAAATTATTTTGCACAGCTATCCAGTATTCTACTATGTATGTTCCGAACAAATAATTAGGACATTGGCTCTGCTTGGTCTGGTGCTGGGCAGGTGATATCTCCGCTCTCTGGGTGGCAGTGCTGACGAATCTGTTGGTGCAAGTACTTTGCACGTTGCCGTGAGATTCCAGCGTCTGGAGCGTCACTGGCAGATAATCAGATGCCAGGCAGCAATACACTTTTGATAAAGGTCACAGGCCACGTTAGCTTCTTCAATATGAGCTTTGAGTGCGTCAGTGTGCTTTAAGCGAGTTTCTGCCGTTCTTGCCCTTATGATCTGAGACTGCAGATCGGAACAAACACCGCACACACATTTTCTTTTGGTTTCATAATTATCACATCACTGCACTCACTGCTCCATATTTTCAAGAATGTTGTGCATGCTTCTGTTCCTCCAGTTGGTAGTAGCACATGGCAGGTAAGTATTAGTTGGAGCTGGCCTCTGGCCTGGGGGCAGCAGGCTGGGGAACTTACAGTCCAGTGATGTCACCATAGTGGTGGATGAACTGCCTGATGTCAGACACTTCATCTGCAGGCAGGCATTCCAGGGCAAAGAACCCTCACATGCGTGCTGAGGGGGAGCTACAGCATGCTCATAGACATCCGCCGTATTTGTTTTAGCTTCCACTTCTTTACATAATGTGCCTACATGAAAACAGTCTGGCATACTTCGTCACCATCCACTTCATAGCGATAGGTGGATCGGGACCTTTCTCCGCGCTGCATCCGTTGTGCAATGCTTCCATGGTGAGAAGTAACTGCACCGCGTCGTCTCAACACATCGAGCTTTCCAGCGACATAACAGTACAGCTCCTCGTTCGTCATTGCGAGCGCTGTGTTGCGTGCAGTGAGTAGAGTATCCGTTGACACGTTCTTGAAACAGTTGACACCGGCACAACTGCGGCAGCCCTTGCCTACTCGCGCCTGTACCTCTTCAACAGTACTGGGCGCCGCCTGGGCACTGGATATCTTAGGTTGGCCCTGTCGTCCGGCGGCGAGGGCTTGTGCTGGCTGTAGCGCTGGCGCCTCGTCCAAATTCTCCTCCGCATCGATCGCAAGCGCGATCGGCAGGGTCACGAGCGGAGAAGCGTCGGTCGATTCGTCATCGCTCTGGTCGTCAGAATCTTGATCTGACCACCCGAAGAACGATCTATCGTCATTTAGCAGTGCTGACGACTCCGCTGCCGAGAATCCGACAACAATTTGTGCCAACGAGCGCCTTCGTCCTCCTTCCGCCATGACTGTCACCTGCGATGATGAGAAAATCGAGACGTGCTGACGTTTTCATCATTTTCTCCGAAAAATTACACAGCACCGAAGGGTGGTTTTAGCAGATCGCGGGCCATTTTGTCTGATTTGAAGTGTAAACTCACTTGGCTGCTAACGAGACCAGTATGAGTTAGGCGATTTTTGCGCCGATCTTCACGAGTTTTGGGACAACTCTTACATGTATATCATGGTATACCGGCCGCTAAATCCGCCTAGTACAGTGTGAACCAGACTTATCCAACGGTGGGCGCAAAATATATAATTATAC